AAGTTCTCCCTCATGGACCTTGTAGGCTTTAGATCGCTGAACTACGCAGTGGGCCTCATTTTGGTCTTCGGGAAGTTCCTACCTAATTAAGTAGGATAGGAATGGTTCCGTCCACGGGGCAATTATTGCCATTATTTCGTGGGCTGAAGGTGTTATTTCATTGGTTGAGCCACCGATTGTGTCAGAATGTTCCGTGTTGAGTGGTGCAGTTGGTTCCGGGTTGTTATTTCCGGACTCCTCTTCCCATAATACAGATGGCTTAAAGAGCCGCTCCAGGAAGATGTTTGGAGGGACGGCGTCGTGTTTTGCACCGATGCGTGCCAACACGTCTGCTGCCTGGTTATTATCCCGGGCTACATGGTGGAATTCGAGTCCTTCGAACCGAGCTGACATTTTTAGGACGGTGTTACGGTAGGCTGCCATTTTCGGATCCTTGGCGTCAAAGTCTCCGTTTACTTGGGATATTGCGAGGTTTGAATCCCCGCGCACCTCTAGGCGTTGAATACCCATGGAGATCGCCATCCGGAGACCATGTAGAAGGGCCTCGTATTCGGCTGCGTTGTTGGAGTCCGTGTATATTATTTGAAGTACGTATTGGACTGTGTCTCCGGTTGGGGATGTCAAGACGACGCTAGCCCCCAAGCCAGCCAACATTTTGGAGTTGTCGAAATGCATGATCCAATTGGAGTATGCGCCATACTCTTTAGGGAGTTCGGCTTCGGTCCATTCGGCGATGAAGTCAGCCAAAACTTGCGACTTTATAGCTCGTCGTGGTTTGTAGGTTATGTCAAATGGTAAGAGCTCAATGGCCCATTTTGCAATCCTGCACGTCGCGTCGCAATTGTTTATAATATCGTTGAGAGGTACTTCGGAGGCCATCGTTATGGAACACTCTTGAAAGTAGTGTCGCAGCTTCCGGGATGCCATGAACACCGCGTACGCTATCTTTTGATAATGTGGGTACCGGGACTTGCATGGAGTTAAGACAGTGGATACGTAGTACACTGGTTTTTGAAGAGGGAATTTGTGCCCTTCTGTTTCTCGTTCGACGACGAGTACCGCGCTGACAACTTGATGTGTTGCCACGATATATAATAACATCGGTTCGCCCAGGTTGGGTGCGGCCAGGACCGGATTTGTTGCCAATATGGCCTTAATTTCTTCGAGTCCGTCCGTGGCAGCATCCGTCCATTCGAAGTGTTCGGTGCGCCGGAGGAGGCGATAGAGGGGCAGTGCCTTTTCTCCCAAACGGGAGATGAAGCAGCTTAGAGCCGCCATACATCTAGTTAGTTTTTGTATTTGTTTGAGGTCTTTTGGGATATCCAATTGTGACAGAGCTCGGATCTTGGCTGGGTTTGCTTCAATTCCTCTACCGGATACAATGAAGCCCAAGAGCTTTCCGGCTGGTACGCTGAAAACACATTTTTCCGGGTTGAGCTTAATGTCGTATGCTCGGAGGTTGTCGAATGTAAGCCTCAAATCGTCTACTAGAGTTTCGACGTGTTTGTTCTTAACGACCACATTGTCTACGTATGCCTCCACTGTTTTGCCTATCTGGGTAGCCAGACATGTATGAATCATGCGCTGATATGTCGCGCCGGTGTTTTTGAGTCTGGAGGGCATTGTGTTGAAGCAGAATGGTCCGTATCGAGTAATGAATGTCGTTGTGGTCTGGTCTTTTTCCGCCATCTTGATTTGATGGTATCCGGAGTATGCGTCGAGGAAGCACAATGAATCGTGCCCTGCGGTAGCATCGATGATTTGGTCGATGCGGGGGAGGGGGAAAGGATCCTTTGGACAGGCCTTGTTAAGGTCTTTGAAATCGACACAAAGGCGCCAGGATTTATCCTTTTTTGGTACCATTACCAGGTTTGCTAGCCAGTCCGGATGTTTTATATCTCTGATGAATCCGGCTTCTAAGAGTTTGGCTAGCTCCTCTCCCATTGCCTGTCTTTTGGGTTCGGAAAATCGCCGAAGAGCCTGTTTGACTGGCTTGAATCCTTTTAGGATATTTAGGCTGTGTTCTGCCAGCCTATGTGGGATTCCTGGCATATCTGAAGGGTGCCAGGCAAAAATGTCCCAATTTTCCCGAAGGAATTCTCATAGTGCGGCTTCTACATCAGGGTTTAATTGTGCCCCAATGGAGGCCGTCTTTATGGGGTCCGTTGGATGGACCTGGAATTTGACTATTTCATCTGCTGGTTTAAAAGAGGTGGACTTAGATCTCTTATCGAGTATCACATCGTCCCTATCCACCATGGAGCGCAGCGCAGTGAGTTCCTCTGCCGCTAGGGCTTCGGATAGTGCCTATAGGGCTAGTGCGGTTGTCTTATTTTCAGCGCGGAGTGCTATATCTGGATCACCGACAAGAGTGATGATTCCATTGGGCCCGGGCATTTTAAGTTTCATGTACCCGTAATGGGGTATAGCTTGGAAAATTGTGAATGCCTCTCGCCCTAACAAGGCGTGATATCCGCTGCCGAACGGGGCCACTTGGAACGTGACCTCCTCGGACCTGTAATTGTTCGGTGAGCCGAACACTACATGTAGTGTGATTTTTCCTGTGCAGCGTACTTCCCGACTAGGGATTATTCCTCTAAAGGTTGTGCTGCTTCGCTCAATGCGGCTCCAGTCAATTTCCATTTTTTGGAGGGTTTCCTCGTAGATGAGGTTTAGTCCGCTGCCGCCATCCATGAGTACCTTGGTAAGACGAAAGCCGTCCACTATCGAACTGAGGACCAATGCGGCTGGTGCTCGGGCTGTTCGGTATTTAGGTTCGTCGCTGGCATTGAAGGTGATAGCCGTGTCGCTCCATGGATTTATTGTTGCTACTTGGTAGACTTCGGCGAGGCTACGGATTGTTCGTTTCCACATATTATTTGATGCGAAAGTCTCGAAGACTGTTAATATCGTACTGGTACTGTTGGTCTGGTTACCCGGGGCTAAAAGACCTTCGCCACTTTTGGCCACCTGCCGTAGTATCCAACATGCTCGAAGGCTATGTGTTGGAGTGGCGCCCTCTGTACTATGGATTTTACAGGGTCCGTTGAGCCATCCCTCCAGTACGGTTCCATGCCCTTTAGGGGGTTTTTGCTTTTTGGTTTTTAACCCAGGTGCTTGAGTATGACGCACCCTTTTATTTCGAACTAGGGTTGTGTTCAGGGCCGGATTGTCCCAAAACCTGGTTTCGGTTTTCCAGTCACTTTCCATCGCACAGTATTTTTGTACTATGGTCGCCAAGTCAGCGAAGCGTGTAACTTCACGACGACTTATGGCGTTCATGATTCCCTTTTCCGTGCAATTGTTGCAGAAAATTGAGATTGCGCTTTCCTCACGGCAGTCCTTTATCCTGTCCATAACCAGGAGGAATCTGGCCCAGTAATGATGTACTGTTTCATCGGGCTCTTGCCGTATTTGAGATAGATCACTTATGTTTGTGTGGGCGGGCGGAATTAAATTTGGAACCCCGCCCAATCTGAGGTTCAAAGGCCGAGAAGTTTCCGGATTTGGAAGCTTGGATTGCTGGATGTTATCCAACAAATCTGGTCCGATGCCTGACTTTAGGTTCAGTACTTGATTGACGTCCGTCCCTCCGCGGGAATCCGGCATAGAGGGATCGGGAATCCGGACATAACTGGTCTTTAACATAGAAGAAGAGTCGCCGCGTTGTTCCTCTACCACAACAACATGGTGGGTAGCCTGGGGAGAGTTAATTTCTCTCAGATCGGTTTTAAGCCCAATCTGATCGTAGTCTGTAGCGACTCCCAGGGCGGCGATGCGATCCAAGAGCTCATTTACGGAGGAGAGCTCCATCGGATCTAGCTGCTCGGCGAATTCCGAGTTGACGTGAAGATCGCTTTTGATGACCTGAGAGGTCATTGTCGGAGCGGTGGCCGAACAGGCAGTCATAAGAAAACCGCCTAGCCGGATAGTTTGGCCGGTGGTCAAAGCTCCCTTGACGATGGCGCCGTCTTTAAAGACGGGAAAAAGGCATCCCTCCTGATTGCGACGGCACAGAGGAGCTCTCAATGAAAGCACCAATGTCGGTATCAAAACCGGCGGATTTCGGGTAGGGGGTTTCGAACTGTGCGTCTAGGCGGATGGTAATAGGAGACAAGGGACACGATGTTTTACCCAGGTTCGGGCCCTCTTGATGGAGATAAAACCCTACGTCCTGCTTGATTGATATTGATGATGTGGGTATTACAAGAGTAGATCTACCACGAGATCAAGGAGGCTAAACCCTAGAAACTAGCCTATGGTATGATTGTTGTTCGTCCTACGGACTAAAACCATCCGGTTTATATAGACACCGGAGAGGGCTAGGGTTACACATAGCCGGTTACAATGGTAGAAGATCTACATATCCGTATCGCCAAGCTTGCCTTCCACGCCAAGAAAAGTCTCATCCGGACACGGGACGAAATCTTCAATCTTGTATCTTCATAGTCTTGGAGTCCGGCTGATGATAATAATTCGGCTATCCGGACACCCCCTAGTTCAGGACTCCCTCAACGAAGTTAGAACTCGATTTTATACGTGAAAAGGGTCAAAACACGAAATTTTGCCGTTCATGGTCTGGTGCTCAGCCTTTGGCCCCGCGGGTGAATTCCCCTCAATTGACTCCTCGTGGGAGGAAGGGAGGGCTCAAAGATAACGACAACCCACAAAGGAAGTGTCGGAGCGGTGTCCTCATCTTCATCATGTGAAATGCCTGAAAAGAAGAAGCCTATGCATTTTCAACGGCATGAGATTGACTTGCGTTGAGGTGGTCCACCTCAGCTTCGAGGAGATTGCGCAGCGAGATTTAACCTCTCGACAGAGAGCTATTCAAAACGGTAATTGTTTTCATTGGGGTTTTCCGGTATGTACCTCTTTAAACATGCTAATATGTATCCCTCGAAAAAAAACATGCTAATATGTACATATTTTTCATTTAATGAAAATGCAACGCTCATGTCAGTTCCAAAGAAAAAAATTACGTCGTTTTCTGCACAGCCTCAAAGAAGAAGGAAGCAGAGGAACGCCACCATGGCGAGGAACACCCATAGCTGCCACAACCTGCGCGCCACCCGCCTCTGCTGGCGCGCCATCCTCCAGCCCTCGCCGTCGCGGTACAAGGACGGCGGTGGTGGCCTCCCACCGCCCCTCGTCGCCCATGGGAGTAACACCGCCAGCGCGATGCCGCCGAGCAAGCGCTCCGCGTTGGAGCAGTCCAGGCCATTGATGCCAATATTCTCGTAGTAGTAGAAGTTGCCGCCGTCGTGCAAGTCCGGCTCCTGAAGGCGCTCCACGTTCGGCCCCGCCCCCGGCACCGGCAGACCACGGGGTACCTGACAAACCCTGCCTCCTCTGCCTCCGGCCGGGCTTAGGGTGGCGGCGGCGCGGCCGTAGAGCGGCACGAGGTGGTCCTCGGAGACGGCGGCCTTGCAGACGGGGCAGCGCGCGGAGGACGAGGCGCGGGACTTGGACTTGGAGGAGGTGGTGAGCCAGCGGAAGATGCAGGGCCAGCAGTAGAGGTGGCCGCACAGCGTCACCACCGGCTCCGTCGCCGTCTCCAGGCAGATGCTGCAGTCCCAGCACGCCGCCGTCGCGCCGTCAGGTACTCCGACGATGTCATCACCGATGCAATGCTGCAGCTTGTCGGCCAGCCAGGTTTTCTCTTCCGTCAGCTCCGTCATTACAAGATCACAACCTGAGTATCAGAAACAGATGGACCTTGTCAGAGAACGTTGAAGGGAAGGCAAACCAATCTCCTTCAGATTAGCACACATACAGATTCGCAGTTGAGGATCGACTTCAGTTCTTCTTCCCCCTTGCGTGTGTATGTGTGCTGGGGGTCCGCTTTTCATATATAGTACGTCCTCCCTCCCTGCGGATTCATGTGCATCTTTCTTGCTTGTAGCGGCACTGTCACTGTCATGGCATGTGTCCACCGAACGCCTAGTTGGTGGATAATTGGATATGGACGATGATGAGAGTTGCAGCAGCGGCAGCTAGGGTCCAAGTTATGGATATGCTGGATGATGTGGCAGCTAGAGTTTTCCTTCAAAAGAACCTTGAGCATATCTTTCCTCTCATCCATCCATGCAGTGCAGGAGTGGACGGACGATGCTTTTCTATGCACGCATGACGCCAGTGCTTGTCTTGTTTGCTTGTAAGAGCATCTACAGCCATCCGTCCGTCCGGGTGGACAGCCCAGCCATTTAGGCCCTGTTTGGTATCTCTCCGCTCCATGGAGCTGGGGAGCTGGGTTTTCGCTGCTCCGTCAAAATAAGCTGTAGGCTGGTCCGCTCCGGGAGCAAAGTCAGAGGAGCGGAGAGGAACCAAACAGGCCGATGAAAAAAAGGCGACCAAGACATGCTCTTCGTACCGGCCCTAAATGATTGGGCTTACAGGCATCCTCGGGTAAAGCCAAAATCTGCACGGATAAGGGAAGGCATGGACGCATCTGTCACGTCTAACTAGATAGGTGGACCCTACCCCAAATTACATCAAAATGGCCTAGTCCACCAAACCCACCGCTCTCCTCCTGCGTCCGTCCATCATTTTCCACATCCGAGCAGTCTCCGTCGTCCACCCTTCTCCCCCATCTGCCGCCCTAGATGTCGTCTAGCCCGTCCCCAACCACCGTCACAGACACATCCTTGGCCTCCTCCGTGGAGCTCCTGTCCTTGGCTCCGGCCTGCAAGCCGGAGAACATCGCCTGGAGGGACTGACGAAAGAGGAAACGTGAGAGGGAAGTGGCGGCATCGCATGGAGTTTTGCTAGTGGACCTCGAGCAGGAACTGTCCCCTCCACCGCGCCCGGCCCCTTGAACCCCGTCAATCCAGCCACCAACAAAGAAGGCGTCGTCCATCCCACCTGAGGTAGTGGTCGCTCCCACGGCTGATTGGGCCATTCCAGATGGTGGCACCAGTGGACAACGTTTGTTACTCGCTGCAACTCCAACAGGCGCAGACAGGCGGTGCCCTGACTGCCCACGTCTTGTTCAACAAAATAACACGGCAGGACACGATATATTTGTTTTCCTCCTCTTCGGTAAATACCTTGCATTCTCTGACGAACATGATCAATTAGTTGCATACATTGTTAGTTTATTTGCAATCATGATAATTTTAGGACAATATCATGTGACATGATCAATGGCAATCAAGAAACCAGCCAAATGGACTATGGATTGGAGGATCCAAATTATCCGACGTTTGAAGTTAGTGGAACATCAAACCCCAACAAAAAAAGGCAAAGGTGTCCAAAGCAAGAGGTCCGGCATTCACAACTTTTGAGGATATTTTGTTGGTTAAAGCTTGGTTGGCCACAAGCATGGACACTATATGTGGCACGGAGCAAAAGGGCAATAAGTATTGTGAGAAGATCCACAAGCACTATCATGAACACAAGGAATATGTCGAGCCGCATCCTATCAGTCCAAACACAATTTGGCATCTCTTCAACATCGATTGGGAGGGGGGGTCACTGAAGGGAAAGTGATGTGGAGCATCCCTCGCTCATCCCCATGGACGTACCTACATCTCCCTCAACACCACTTGGACCCATGACAAGAGCTCGAGCTAAGGCTATTGAAGATAAGGTGAACTCGCTCCTCTCCGAACTCCCTCTTCCTACTCAGGAGACATGGCTACTACCTCATTCGGAAACTCTGTGTGTGATCAGGTGCTTGGAGAAGATCCATGGAACAGCTACATGCAAGGACCAAGACGGCGAGGACCCCAAGCGTGATGGACAAGAAGAAGAGCTACTTTGGAAGCTATAGGCGTCGGACGACCGACCCAGTCCGGACGTCCGATGACTCCCACCGAGCCCTCCGGACGTCCGGTACTTCACCACCCAAGCCAAATCTACGGATGTCCAAGGAGGAACGGATGACCGGGCGACCAGCGACCGAGGCGAATCTACGGAAGACCGACGGTCATTGGACGTCCGACCCGTCCCGAAGCTCCGGACGACCGGCCCCCTTCGAACGTCCGACGCATCCCCGACAGAGCTGAATCTACGGAAGTCCAAGCCCTCCCGGACGTCCGGACCGTCCCGAGCCTCTGGACGTCCGACGTCTTCCGAACGTCCGGCACCCGAGTGACCGCACCCACGGGCTGAAGCCCTTGTACCCCTTCAATTTGACTCACATTTGCACTACGACTATAAATAGGTGTCTCCCAACTCCTAGCTAGGGTTAGCATTAGTTTAGCTCATATTTTGTGTGAGAGCCTTGCTCATCCACTTGGTTACTTCTCCTCGGAGCTCACGACCTCTTCGGAGAATATCCCCCAAGCGGATTCAAGACCCCTTCAAGGGAAGACCCCCAAGACCTCCTCACGGAGAAGAACGGTTACTCTTGTATCTTTCCTTTGTTGATTTTGAATCTTGTGCTACCTTGTGTGTTTGGTGATCTAGCCCTCATGTGATTAATTACTTGTCAGTTGAGTGATTCTCTCGTTTCTCCCCTTGTTTTTCCCTTATGTTCTTTCGCGCGTTCTTCGTGTTTCTCCGTAGGATCCACTCCAAACGTGAAAGATCGTCCCCATAGGGTTCTGCCCTACATCATCTTGGTATCATGAGCCACGCTGATCACGTTTTTGGAGCCCCTACCCTTTGTTTCCTAGCTTGATTTTGTTGTTTTCTTCCTATACTCAAAAATTCCCCACCAAAAATAGCCCCAAATTTTTTTTTGTGATTTGTCGGTGAGTTGAGATTTTGTTGGATTTGGTCCATGGATTTGTGTTGCTGCGTGTGGATCTAGCTTTCCCCACCCTTTTCCATCCTCTAATCCGCTCGATTTCGACTTCACCATCTCCCCCCCCCCCCGAAATCATGATGTTCTTCCCGTGTCCGGTTTTAGCCCAGGCACCGGACGACCGGACCCCGCCGGACGTCCGACGACCGGATGACCGTAGAAACCGGACGTCCGTGAAACCCTGACGAAACTGAACTTGATTCAGTTCTAACACCACCACAACCCCACCTTCCACCACATCTTCCATAACCACATACACCACCATCCTCCTCGATACCTCCGATGACGATTTTGACGCGTTCTGGGTCCTTGAGATTTTGAGTTGTGGCTCCCGTGTCCTATTGTGTTTCGGCTATCTAGGTGCGATTCGACTTCGTCATCACCACGGCTCATCTTCGCAAGGGTCTCATCATCGCCAAGGACGGTAACATCGACGACATCTTTGTTGTACCTTGCAATTGCATTGATACCCACATTGCCTCATTTTTGCATAGCTTACCCATCGCGACTAGCCATTGAGTATTGCCGACAATGTGACTTGTGCACATTAGTGATCATACTCCATAGCGTACATACCATACCATAGTGGTGCATATCTTCGGATCAACTTGTGTGTCACGAAGTTGTCATCGCATACACAATTGCTATCTTGGTTCATGAAGTTTTGCATCAGAAAAGAGCTCAAAAGTGAACGAGCCACCCAAGCTTTCAAGCAAAGAGGAAAGATAAGCAAAGAGCTTATGAGCAAGAACAATAGCATTATACTACATTAAGATTGTCATACTCGATCATCTTGGATCATAGCACCAAAATACCATACATATAGCATACTTGGGATAGAGGTCGTTGCATTTTTGCCTAGTAGGTTGTGCACAAGTCTGTATCCGCCTATTGTGCAATCGTGCTAGTGTCTCTCTAGTATTGTGCAACAAGAGCATTTTCGTGGTTCCCACATTTTGGATCACTTTTGGTTTGCACAATCCCACTTATCTATTTGCGTATGTGTTTCCGTGTACCATTATTTGCTTGGTCTACTTGTTGCATTTGCAAATTTGTGAACCTTTTCCAACATTATTGAGGCTCACTTACAATTGCATCCAATTTTGTGCCACCATCCTAACCAAGCTCCACCATAAGCTTTTACTTGTGTAGGTGTGAGAACCGACAAGAATTGGTACCAACAGTGCTATTTCATTGTCCGCATTTGAGTGAACTTGATTCATCTTCAACATCGGTCAAGGTACATTTGGTACACGTTCTTCTCCGTCTACCACTTACATTTTGTTTGGAATGATGGATAGGCCAAGTTCTTCTACCAATCCACCCCTTTGGTGCTCAAAGGGCATTGCACCAAGAGCAACAAGCTATGAGCGACCGCATCGACAACCTCGCCACCGACTTGCGACTCTCCGAGCAACGTACAAGAGACTACTCCGACAACAAGTTCGATGCTCACAAGCAAGAGAATGATGCAAGAATGGACGAGATTCGCGCCTCGATGAGGAACCGCCATCCTTCCACTTCTTCATCCTCAAGACGGAGCCGCTCGAGTCGACACTCCGACGACACCTTCTCCGACTCAAGTACACCGTCATCGAACACTCTTCGACGAGCCGCGCGTCAAGACCGCCATGCAGCTCGCAATCCTCTACATGACAAGCATTCACAAGAGCAAGTCGACGAGCATCTACCTCATCCTCCACCGCACCAAGTTGCTTTGGCACAAGCTCAAGAACGACAACGTCTACATCTCCAAGAGGAAGAACGAGCGCGTCTACACCAAGAGGAACAAGACGCCGAGGCTCAACGTCTTCAACAACAACAACGAGAAGCGCAAGCTCTTGAGGTGCAACGTGCCCTTCAAGAAGCAAGTCGAGCCATCGCCAGCCGCAATCGCGAACGGCGCAATCAAGAGGAAGCCCTTCGAGAAGAAATCCAAGAGAGGAACTACCAACCACGTGTGCAACGTCAAGTTCCTCAAGCTCCTCCACAAGCTCGTCAAGCTCCACCTCAACCTCAAGTTCAACAAGAGCAAGTTGATCATGGACTTCCTCCGCGACAAGAGCAACATGAGGATGATTACCCTCCACGTCAAGGGCG